TATGGGGGGATAGGGCTACGGAAAAGGGTGAAGTCTGCAAGGGAACTAAAATAGGACTCCTGAAAGGAGAGAAGTTTGGGGGAGCTGGAGGGAGGGACAGAGTGGCCAAGGAGTCAGGGGAAAGTAGCAAAAGGAAGAGAAAGTGGACACTCTGGGGACCTTGTTCATATGGAGAGGGCTGTGCCTCTGGCCACCTGCTGCATACACCGCAGTATCCACAGCCCCAAGGGCTACAGTGGCCAAGGAATCTGTGTATAAATTTAACCTCAGCTGGTTCCCAGGTCGAAGTTCTGCCCCATCCACTTTCAGTTCCAGCTAGGGATAGAAAAGAAAAAAAAACAAAGCAGGGCAACATTATTGGGAGGAAGAAGTTCCTTACTATTTTTCATATCTTCGGTGCTTTCTTTGAACTTGAGGCCATTCCTCTTCCCTCCCTCTCTCTCTCCACTTCTGTCGCATCACATCTTCTCTCCTCCATCTCTCCTTCCCTCCCCCAGTTACCTTCCCCTCACAATCCCCCGCCTGGACATCCACTTTCAAAGAGTTGGCGACTGGTAGACCATTGTGGTAATAGAAGGCGACGAGGCGGAAAGAAGGCACGAGCTGGGCGGTCACAGGTACCGAGATGGCGGTCACGGCGCCCTTTGCCACTCGATGCATGGATATGATCTCTCCACGCGACAGGACCTGGTGGTGCCATAGTGGTTGGCAAGACAGAAGGATCTGAAAGGAGCTTCCTCTCTAACCTGTCTTCCTTACTCTCTCTCCACCTCCAGGGAAAGACTGTCCACCTCTGCCCTGATCTTTGCTCCAACAATCCTGCGCTTACTGGCCTATCCTCACCATGTAGTAGTAATGGGAGAAAGTAGCTCCATCAGCTCCCACGGCACGAAGGTTTAGAGTGAACGTCTGTCCCACACGGGGAGGCCTGGAATCCAGCCGCTCCATGGACAAGAGCCCCGAGCCTCCAGAAGGGGGAGAATGGGCAGTAAGGGTGGCCACCGCTGGGAAGCGGGATCCTGCAGATAGCTAGAAGGAGGCAATAAAGGGAAAGGTCAGAGGGACTCAGCAATCTGGTCCTTCAACTGCCAGATCTCCACCTTGCTCCTGAGCAACACAACCATCCAGCTCTTGGCTCCCCCTTCTCCTGTCCCCACTTTTTTCCTAGAGTATCTGGTTCCCATCTCACCGTGAGCTGCAACTCTTGAGTGGCTTGGGGGACATTGATGAGGGTGCTGAGCTGACCCCTCTCATCTGTGTTGAAGTTAAGAACCGGGATATTAGAACCAACTCCTGAAGTGATAAATTTGGTGGAAATTTTGATGGGGATCCCAGGGGCTGAAGAGCCAGAGACATCCTGAACCAAGGCCTGAGGGTGGGTAAAAGAGAAGTCAGAGAAGAAGAAATAGAGAAAAAACGCTGTGCCATCCCCTTTATCTGTATTGCCTCTCCCAACCTCTCTTGTACTCTCCCTCCCTATCCTCTTTTTTAACACCCCCAGGAATGACCTGTAGTAGGAAAGGAGTTCCTGGTACAAAATACCGCTGGGTGCTGCTGAGATCCACCAAAAATGGAGATGAGACGAAGCGCAAAGAGGTAAGTTCAGCTTCCTCTAGCTCTCCCCCTGGGTCCATGGAAATAGATAGACATAAGAAGTCGGGGGCAAAAAAGCAGAGACAAAGAAATAGGGGACAGCGATGGAGACAGAAAGACACAGGGATCACCATCTCCTCAAGTTTCCCTCTCTAGAATGAGTTTGTGGGTGTGTGGGTGCTCAGAGGGGAAGGTTGGAGGAGAAAAGGAGACTATGAGTGGATGTCCAAAGCAGGGATCAGAGTAGAGAGGTCTAAGGTCACCCACCAGGGGATTCAATGACAGCAGCTGCTACATAGAGGCGAAGCCCCTGAAGATTGTCCATCCCAGAGATGTCCAATGCCTTCTGGATCTCTGTTCCTGAGAGGGTAATGCCACAGAGGCCATCTGACAACTGAGGAAGAGAAAATAAAAGACAGAACATACATCTGTGGTGAAAATCCCACCTACTACTCCATCACCCTCCCCTCCCCAAGTACCTTCCATGACCTCTGAGCCCTACCTTGGACTGCTTTTCCAGCCCTCGAAGGAATTTCTTCTCACCACTCTCATCCAGGACTCCAAATCGAATATAAGCTACTCCCTGCACTGACTTCCCATATACATACCTAGAGACAAGGGATATTTGGAAGGACCCCTGGGAGAAGAGGCCCCAGTGGGGGTAGGGGGAAATAGGGCAAAAGGAAGAGTCCTAAGGAAGGGTGAAGAGCAAATGAGGAGAGATGCAAGGGTTACTGGGGAACAGTACACAGAGGTAGAAATAAAGGAAAGGATTACTTGGCCTGGATATTCAATCGGATATTCACATCAACACCAGGAGCCACCAGCACATAGGGCTCTTCAGGTATGATCTTCACCTCAAAGTTGGGGAGAACTAAGTGAGAGTAGAGGGGAAGAGATGTCAAACAGCAATGAAAACATCCCTTCTCTTTGGGATCCAGTATCCATTTCCAACCTTTTCTCCCCTTAGGACACTATCTCCCTAGTCTCCAGCTCTTACCATATTTCTTCACCTCAAACTCAGTACTGCTGTTGGAATCTAAGCTGTCAGAAAATCGAGCTGAGATCCTCCATGTTCCAGGCCTGAGAAGGAATATAGAGGTGGCTCAGCATAAGCAGGTAGAGAAGAGCCTAATGGAAAAAGAATGTTGTTCTTATATACGATGGGGGAATTTGGGAAACAATCTGTGGGGCTGTACAGGTAAGAGTGGACTATGCAGCAGGCAGAATCCCTGGGGTCTGGAGTGAGGTGACTGAGAAAAGGGGTAGAAAGTAAGAAGGTATTTAAGGGAGATATATGAAGGTATTCCAGAGTGGGATGGGGTCAAGAAAAAGCTCACTCTGAGATGTCAGGGATTACAAAATCATCTTGGAAAATGGATCTTTTAGAAAACATCTCATTCTTCCGTACTTGAAGGCCATGAGAGTTCTAGGAGAAGAAGGACTCAGTGAATAAACCTAGAGGCAGAAGGTTAGAAATCAGGGGTCACAGTTGAGGAGTTAGAGGCCATGGACTCACCTGAACAGTAACAGTCAGGGTATCCGTGGATGGTCTCATGTTCTGATCCAGAGCAAAGACTCGGAATCGGACTAGAGGAAATGATATACAGGTGTCAGTGGGCCAAAGGAGGAGATTCCATAAGCTCTATTTTTCTCTCTCCTCTTTCTCATCCTTTCCCTATACAAAGAAAGGCTATTCTGTACATGGTATGCCTGTGCAATAAATTTGTGTTGTTGGATAAGAAGGAATTGAAGGTATGGACTCCTCACCACGTTGGCCAGGGTTGTAAATGGGCTGGTCTGTCTGTACAAAAAGGTGACCCCGACGTGAAGAAAATAACAGGTTGACACCCTGAGTGTCTGTTTGTCGAGACAGAGTCGATTTCAGCCATGATGTTTTGGCCAGAAGTTGCACGTGACGGGACTCATAAAGCTTACTGAGACCACAGCGCTGTACATGGACCAGTGGGACCTGAGGGCAGATGGGGATAGTGTTAGAGGCAGAAAGTGAAGAGTAAGAGAGAGACAGAGGTATGGAAAGACCAAGTAGGAATGATCCCAGGGGAGGGACCAAGACCAGAAAAACAGATGTAGGTTCAGAATCAGAGGCGAGGAGGTAAATGGCATGTAAAGAAAAACAGAATGGAGAGAGCAACTAGATGGCAGGCACAAAAAGACAGTAGGAGCAAGTAGGGGTAGGCTGATGGGGGCAGGGAGTTGGGGGTACAATTACCGGGAGGCTAAGTAGCTGATAGTCATGGTCAGAGTCCAGGGTAAAGGGCACATCCTCAGAGCAGTGCACTGGGGGCCCTGATGGATTTCTCAGGAAGATAACGCCCTTGACTTTCTGCCCCTTCGGAGCTCCCTGGAGTTGCAGTCCCACCGAAAGTGGTACACCCAGGCGAACCACAGCGGGTGAAAAGATCAGCAGCCTAAGGGAAAGGGGGTGGGGTTAGGACCTACAGGTATAGAGCTCCCTTCTTCCCTCACCCCAAGCCACTGACCCATCCCCCTAGCCTTCAACCAAGACCCCGCTTCCCAAGACACCCGGGTGTTTTTGTTCCATAGCTGTTAGGTCTCCCATCCCCACTCTCCATAACCCTCAGGGACCCAAGACCTGGCTTCCTGCACAGTCAAAGTGAAGAGGCTTGAAAGCCAAAGCAGCATCCATAAGAGCTTCATGGTTGAGAGGACTGCAGGGATGGTCAATCCTAGCTGTCCATTGGCTCCCTTCTGGCTATCCTGAGGTCTAGGGGAGATAACTTTGGACTTTGCTCCACCCCTGCTCTAGTTTAGCTGGGAAAACACGTGACAATCAAGAAATGCAACTGGCCCAAAGCCCAGTACTGAAAGTACTGGAAACCTGGGCCCCTGTGAGGAAATCTTGGATCCCTTTAATATAGGTCTTTCTGAAACAGGATGGTCTCTCTTAAGTGTGTCGTCTCTCCAATCCTGATATTTATACAAGTGAAGTGAGGGTATGCAGCTCCTCTCCACAACCTTCACTCCCATATAACCCTAGTGACACTTGGATGCTACTCTGTATAAGACCCACCACAGATTCTAAGGCTTGAGTAGGTTTTCACTGAAATCACAGTAATACCCATACTGTTACTGGAGACCCTTTTCAATGTTTACCTTTCTCCTATATGAATTCTGTTATGGAGGGAGGCATCCAGACCTAGAGTTATCCTTGCCCATCCCTACAACTGAGCATCAAATAGACATTTTACATTTAAATGAGGACTTAAAGAAAACATCACAGAAAGATATTGTTTATTTGGCAATTTCAAAAAAAAAAAAAAAGACAGAGAACCCCAGAACAAAATGACATTATGCCTATGTGAAAGGCGATAATAAGCAAAACATGACATAGTTTCCAATCTTTCTCCTTGGCAAAGGCAGGGCAAGCATGGTCCAAACCCCAAACCTGTAAACAGCAGTGATGATATCTGTCCCATCCACCTAGAGAACCGAACAGTAGTCTCAACTTCAGAGACTTCAAGGGGTAACCCCTCCCTAGATGCCACTTCCATCAAGACGTCTTGCTGGCTGCATGTTATATCTACACCTTACTTCATTCCCCAGTCCAACAGATGAATTGGGAAAAGAAAACCCAAATCTTCACGTCTCAGGCAGGCGAAGGAGAGTCCCAGATGTGGTGGGGACACTGTAGGGTGAAGGGGAAAGAAAATAAGCATCTATATAGTGTCCACTATGTAAATAGCACTATACTAAGCACTTTATAAATATTGTCTCATTTCATCCTTAAAACAGCCCTGTGACACAGATGCTATTATTATTCCATTTTACAGTTGAGGAAAGCGAGGAAGACAGAGGTTAAACGACTTGACCATGCTAACACAGCTAGTAAGTGTCCAAAACAGGATTTGAACTTAGGTCTTCCTGAATCCAGAGCCCACAGCTCTATCCATTGTGCCACCTAGCTGGGGGTGGGAGGGGTGAGAGGAAAGCTAGACGGGAAAAACTAGGGTCTAGATATAAGGGTCTCCATGTTTATAGAAAACTGGGGTAGTCAGTTAAAGAGCAATGCCTACAGATCATCATGATGAGGAAGAGCTCTAGTCTTACATGATGTAGTTGAAACACTTGGCAATAGGGAGGAAAGGGAACAAGTAAAGCTATATACTTACATGTCAAGCAGCTGCCCTCCAATTAAATCATGTACATGGTAGGGAAGGCCAAGCCGCACAGACAGAGGAGCTCGTCTGCCTAAGAGCTCAGAAAGGGACAGCTCCCGATACTTGGACTTTCGAACCATCCCAAGTACTGCCTGTCGCCCTAGAAGGAAGAGAGCAGAGCAGATGAGACAAGACAATGGATGTGATCACTGGGCCTTAGTCCTGGGGGATGGTCTCTCTCCTAAGTATCCTTGGTTGGGGCAGGAGTGGGGGGGGAATAACTCTGGTTTATGCTTTTGGAATAATTAGAGAAGGGAATGAGAAATCAGCACCTTTAACAAAATATTTTACAAATCTCCCAGCTCCTGGCACTGACAGCCACCAGCTCCCAGCATCTCGGACTGTAAGGACTCCGGCATTTACCAGCTGCCTAGGATGGAAGGGAAGGGAAGAGACAATGTGACCTCTAGGAATCATCCTCTACAGCCCCTTAATTCCTACCTTAAGGAAGGAGGGAATGGCAGCTGCTTGGGTCCCTTTGCAGTGGGAGAAATAAAAAAACAAAACCCATCAATTTCATGGGGTGATATGAACAGCATATTTTTTCATTGACTATTTAACTCCTCTTTCAAAAAGAACAAAAGCTGATCTCCTCTATTATGTTGTAAGGAAAAGAGGAAAACCAACCTTGTTCTGTTCCAGCATCAGTATGGTAATATAAGGGTAGGGATAAGAGTGGGTCACTGTTGCAAAAACTTGATGTTTCTTTGGGGTTTTTTTAAGTGATGAAATTCAACTTGGAGAAATCCTATACTCTCATGTGACATATACATCTCTCAACCCTCCCAGATAGTCCAGATGATTCCATTAGCAAGGATGGGGGAGAAAGCATCACTGCCAGGCAAAAAAAATGTTATTGAGAGTAGAGTTTAAAAGAGTAAGGGAAAGATTAAACTAGGACCATAGATGTAGTTGACAGTTGCCTAGGTTTTATGCTGCCCCAAGTCTCACGTGATCTCACAGTCCCGAAAGCCAAAGGTTTGGATCATCTGATCCTGCTGAAAGCTGAGGTCTCCACAGGCTGGAAGCACCACGGCCAGAAACCTCTGCACTGTCCCTTCAAATGGCTGACCCCTGCAAGATTCCAGGGCCTGAAGGAAAACAAGAGAGAAAGGGCAACCAAATTCCAATTTGGCCTTCCATTGATATCCCCATACTTCTTTTCATAGTGTCTTCTCCCCCCACAACACACACACACACACAGAGTTATTTCCTATTTTATCTGTATAGTACTTGTTTGTACAAAGTTGTTTGCTTATTGTCTCCCCCATTAGATTGTAAGCTCCTTGAGGGCAGGAACTGTCTTTTTTATCCACTGTGCTTGGCACATAGTAGGCACTTAATAAATGCTTACTGACTGACTGACACACACAGAATATGCATCTCCCTCCACAATACTTTTTTTCTCCTTCCTTGAAATCCTTCTATTAGTCTTATTAGACCTTAACATCCTCCCCAATCCCTGGTTCCATTACCCCACATATACACATATACACACACTTTGGTCCTGAAGTCCTCAGTGAAGACAATCCCCTGAGCATCAGAGTCAAAGCCAAGTTGAATGACTCTAATCTTCCCTTGTTCCCGAAGTTCTCTCTGTCCCAGGAGAGATGAAAAATGAGAGGCATCAAAATAGGAACTATTGGGGCAGCCAGGTGGCACAGTGGATAGAGTACGGCCCTGAAGTCAGGAAGACCTGAGTTCAAATCCAGCCTCAGACCAAACACTTGACACTTACTAGCTGTGTGACCCTGGGCAAGTCACTTAACCCCAATTGCCTAAAAATTAAAAAAAAAAAGGAACTATTGCTATGCTTGGGGAAAGTGGGAATAAGTTAATATGGGGGAAGAATAGATTCTAGGATGATAAAATGGGAGGAGGTGGTGAAGGACGGCTCTTTTCTGATATGTCTCTCAGTATAGGAAAGATCTTCCCATTTGTATAGGCTTGTAGAAACTAGGAGTAGCTAATAGCTGGTTTGACGCTCAAAATCGGTCTCCCTTCATCAACTATCCATACATCTCTCCCGTTAGTCCACTCAATGCCTCTTACTGGCTGGCTGTCTATATGACATCACCATATAGTATCTTTCTCTTTCCTTCACACAAATTGCCTGTTTTGCTGTTCCTCTCACCAGCTATCTTTCTATTTGCCAGCTGTTTCCCAGCCACCCTTCAATTCCATCTCCCCATTGCTTCTGCTCCCCTTTCACAAGCTGCCGGTGCCTGGGTCCCTGAGTCCCCTTCACCAGCTGCCCAGCCTCTGACCCCATTCATTGGTCTACCACACCAACTGCCTGGCCCCTGGTCCCTGATCCCTTGGCCCCCTCACCTGCTATCAGGCTCTTAGTCCCCTTAACCAGATACCAGTCCCTTGATCCTTTGGTCCCCCTTACTAGTCACCATCTACTGGGTCTTCTTGTCCCCTGGTCCCCTTCACCAGCTGCCTGGCTCTTGGTTCCCCTTGGCAGATGCTCAATTCCTGGGCCCTTGGTTCCCTCTGACCAGCTGTCTGGCCCTAGTCCCCTGGTCCCACCCAGCTACCCAGCTGACCAAGTCCCCCCACTAGCAGCCCATGCCCCGGCTCCGTGCTTCCCTTCACCAGCTGCACAGCCGTCATGCCCCGGTCCAGACTGCCCAGGGTCCCTCTCGCCCGCCCCCTGCCCCTCACCAACTGCCTGTCGGCCGCGGTCCGGTCCGGCACGAGGCTGTACACCTGGCTCTTGAGGGCGACGGGAGGTAGAGCGTCCTGGAAGAGGCGCCGGGGGAACAGCTCGCCCAGCTCCCGCAGAGCCCTGAGCACCGACCCTGGGGAAGGGGCTTCGTCAGGGCCTCGGACCCTCCTCTCTCCGGGAGCCAGCCCTGAGGGCCGTCCCAGGAATCCCTCATGGCTCCCCTCGTTCCCCTCCCGGGTTACCTGACTCTACCCCCGGGGGCTCCTCTCCGGACCATCCCGGTCCTCGTCGTCTCTTAGCCCCGAAGGTTTCAGGGACGAGCCGGGGACGCTTCCGGCTCATAGCCCGGGACCTCTGACCCTTGAGGGTTGGCGAGGACGGGAGAGTGGGGGGGCCGCGACCAGAGCCTGGGGGGTAGAAATGGGGTCTGGAATTGGGATGTCGGGGTAAACGATGAGGCGTTGCCGGAGACCGGCGACTGGGGGGGCGGGCCCAGGCCCGGCACGGTCGCGGGGCGATGACGTCATAGCCAGCGCTGTGGCCGAGATGGGGACCAGCCCGGCGAGATGACGCGAGCCCCGCGCTACGCCGGGACGGAGTGGAGGCGTGGAGGGACCGCGTGCTAAGTGGACGTTCCTACTCCTGCCCCTCGAGTAAGAGCTGCATCCACCCCCACCCTGAGAGAAGCCCTAGGCAAGTCTGTGGCTGGCGCTTCCTGATTGTGTCATGCATAGATGAAGACAAGTCACATTCCCCACTTTCGGCGCTTCCGGTACTACTACGATGTCACACAAACCCAGGGGGCTGGGGGAGGGAGACAGAGGGGCGACCCAATCCCCCCGCCCCGAGCAGAAGCTTGGCCTCACCAAGCCCCTTCAATAACTACATGGAAGGAAACATGGGCGGGGGTGGGGAGAAGGGAGAGCACAGGTCAGAAGCAGGAGGGCAGAAATCATAATGGGGACCCCAGAGCTGAGGAGCAAGGGGGGTGCAGAAATCAGAATAGAGAACCCCAGAAGTCCAGATGGGCCAAGAACTTCAGGCTCCCCCCGATGGAGAGGAAAATTGGGGCGAAGCTGAGGATGGAGGTGGGAAAGGGGAGAAGGTAGAGAGGAGGAGGGAAGAAAATGACCCCTCCTTGGTTGTCCAGGCGTTAAGCGAGGGGTGTCTGCTCCCTCACCCAGGCTTGGGGGCGGGGGGGGTTCTCGTCTTTGCTCCCGCAGAAGCCTATGGAGCCCCAAGGTGCCAAGCGAGGAGCCGGGGAAATGAAAGATGGGGCGACAGGGGGCCCTCCCAAGCGGGCCCGCCCGGCCCCTTCGCTGCCCACCGATGCCTCCCTCTACGCGGGCCCCTTCCCCTTCTATCGCCGCCCCTCCGAGCTGGGCTGCTTCTCCCTGGACTCCGAGCGCCGCTACCACGGGGACTCCCGGGCTCTGCGTTACTTTGCTCCTCCCCCAGCCCACGGTTCTGCCCCTGATTTCGACCTCCGGGAAGGCTACCCTGAGCGCTACCGGCCCCGGGACGAGGAGACCCGGGAGGGACTGGATCACCTGCTTCGATGGCTCCTGGAGCACCGAGGCCAGTTAGAGGGGTGAGTGCCCAGAGGGCGGCTCTGCCTGGGAAAGGTACTAAAAGCCTGGGTTGTCTTCCTTAGGCTGGTTACTTTGGGTAAGTTACATGACCCTCCAGGTTGTAGTTACTTGCTTCATTTGTAAAATGAGGGGTTCGAAACCAGATGCTGTCCAAGGTCCCAAAGAAATCGAATAATCAAAGACAAAGGATGAAAGGGATAAGAAGTCCAGAATAGTTCTTTCAGCCTTAGCCTTCCTGGTGCTGTGACTTAAGTTCCTCAGAATTCCCTCCTTTAGCCATATTTTTTGGAGGATACCCGAATCTTGGCCCTTTTTGGATGAATTCGTCCTCCCCTCAGACCAGTTTCCCCTAACAAGTAAATCTCTTCTCATAGGGGCCCAGGCTGGTTGGCAGGGGCTGTGGTGACATGGCGAGGGCATCTGACAAAGCTGTTGACAACACCCTATGAACTTCGGGAAGGTTGGCAGCTTGCAGCTTCACGGCTACAGGGCACCCTTTACCTGAGTGAAGTGGAAACACCTGCTGCTAGAGCACAGCGACTTGCTCGTCCTCCTCTCCTCCGGGAACTCATGTACATGGGATACAAGTTTGAACAGTACATGTGTGCAGGTGAGGGCCTTGATATGGATTTAAAATATGTCAGCATAGCACTTTGTAGTTTACAAAGTATTTTCTCATCTCTGATCTCAAGCCTTTTCTCTTATGGCCCTTCTTTTAACTCCCTCTTTTCCTCCTATAGACACACCTGGAGGCTCTCCGGACCCTTCTGGAGAGGTCAACACTAATGTGGCATTCTGCTCAGTGTTACGAAGTCGATTAGGAACCCATCCCCTGCTCTTCTCTGGGGAGGTGGACTGCACAGACCCTAAAGCCCCATCCACACAGCCACCTGCCTGCTATGTGGAGCTCAAGACCTCAAAAGAAATGCACAGCCCTGGTCAGTGGAGGAGCTTCTATCGGTAAGACTGATGCAGCTGAGCTGAGGATACAAAATCAAAATAAAGCTAGAGGACGAAATACTTAGGTCCCTGTTTACTTGGGTCTCTAGTGATCTTTTATCTCGTGCTTCACAGACACAAGCTCTTGAAGTGGTGGGCTCAGTCATTCCTGCCTGGGGTTCCACGTGTGGTTGCTGGCTTCCGAGATCCTGAAGGTTCTATCCGATCACTCAGAACCTTTCCCACCATGGAGATGTTTGAGCTCATCAGGGTAATAATAGATAATAACCTCATACTTTCACACCTCCACTCTTTCCAGAGTTCTACACTGGGATCCTTTCCCTTATCTTCAATTCCTTGGAAATCCTAGATCCTCTAGTCTCCCACTGTACGTCCATCCACCTATTTCTGTCCTCAGGCTACCGAGAAGGCTGGAATCCATCCGTATGTATGAACTTCTGTGCTGCTTTCCTTAGTTTTGCCCAAAGCACAGTCACTCAAGATGACCCCAGGTGAGGAACTCATGTCTAGTTTTACTTCTCTCAAGACTTAGGCCTGTGAATGCCCACTCCTTACTTGTCTCTCTTGCTCTCCCTGCCAGGCTTGTTCACCTCTTCTCCTGGGAGCCAGGTGGCCCTGTTACTGTGTCTATTCATCATGATGCTCCCTATGCTTTTCTGCCTACCTGGTATGTGGATGCTGTGACCCAGGACTTCCCTTCACCTGCTAAGACACCCTGCCCAGGGAACTAATTTCTCCAGAGGACTGATCAAGAGGGGGCTGGTCCCTCCTTCCTAAACACACAATAAAGGCATTTTTCACTATCTTGTCCTCATTTTTGTCCTCCCTCTGCCTTAGTTAACTCATTAAAGAAATATTCTATACCCAGGCTCACACACATTAGCATGATTTGCTGCTTTATTAATTTTTTAAAAAGAAATTGGTTCCTTCATGACCCGTTCTTTGGCAGAGGGCCATGAAGAAACCAACCAGGTAGGAACTACAGAAGTATCACTGGGTGTAGAGACTGGCAGCAAAGACTATGTCACGACGGAGCATCGTGGCAGCTGCCTCCATCTTAGCACCCAGGACAGGTTCTCCCACCAGCCGGGCCGCCCCTCGCAATGAACGACACATCTCTGCCAAACGCTGGATACATCTGACAATAAGGCCCTCTGGGGTCCCTGACAGCCCTGCCAGCTCAGAGAAAGGCTACAAAGAAAGGAAAAGTGATAAGCTTCTGGCTCTCCCAGAGATTCAGATGTTCAAATGCATGGCTGCTTTGCTCTCCTCCTACCCTCAGGAACTCACCATGCCTCGTGCCCACTCATAGACAACTTCTACCAGCCCAAAGTGTAGTTCTCCCACAAACTCTTCCACAGTCTGGTTCAGGCCACAGGACACTTGAACCTCACCAATCCGTCGGGCCACATCCTTGACACGCTCTATGCCCTGGAAGGTTGAAGAAAAGGTAAACAGGCAAAGCCCTTAGCCAGATGCTGAGGGAAAACAGAAAAAGCACCTATGGCTTAAGGAAGAGAGAACCCAGTCTGATAATGGAAGTGTGTTAGAAGGACGGAGGTGGATTTCATCAGGAAAGTCTTCTTGGAGATGTGTGAAGCTATACTGGAAGGAAGGGAAATGATGGAAATCCAGAGGCCTATGTGAATGAAGGAGGGGGAGAACGGGGGTGATGGTGAGGGATGTGTCCCTCACCTGTTTAAGAGTGCTTGGCAACTGGTCTCCAGGATCTCCAGGACTTTGGCAGACAAGGCCAGATAGCAGAGCAGCAATCTCCTCTGGCCGAAGGGCGCTCAGTGCATTGTCAAACATGAGCTCTGTCAGAAGCAGTTCATGACTACTCATGGCACATGCCACCCTCCCTGCCAGCTTCACAGTTCCTGCCCCATCCACATAGCCCAATGTCCGAAGAATCTGGATAGGGAAGAGGATGATATTGAAATAGGAGTATAAAATTCAGTTATCTGGCTATTCTAGCCTTCTCCCTGACCCCCTAGCCTCAGGGCACCAGGCATCTAGCTCCTTCCCACCTCCACTCGCTGATGATACTCCGGCAGCAGGAGCAGTGACTGGTCTGAGAGTAGAAACCGTAATCTCTCCATCTCCTTCTGGATCTGAGCACGTTCCCGCAGCCTCAGGTACTAAAGAAAGAAGATGCAAGGGGAGGAAAGAGTAACATTGGTTCCCTCTACCCTTTCCAATTTAGGGGGAAGAGCTGAAGAACAGATTGTGCCCCTCTCCTATCACTCCATCCCTACATATTAGCAAAAAGACCAGGGAAAGAAACCACCTCCTATGGGAAGCCAGGTACTGGGTGGTCTTACCTGGGCTGGAAACCTGGGACTGTGTACACACTGGGCTCCTCGAATCAATTCCTCTAGCTTCCGAGCACGAAGCCCACCCTCTACCACTGACACCTCCTTCAACTGAAGGTCATTGACTGGATCCAGGGCTGGGGGCCCTGCTGGGTGTGCCTGAGCCAAGCGAAGCATCTCTTGAACAGCAGAGGTCACAGCTGGAGAAGGAGGGTCCTTCCTAAGAGAAAAAGATGAGAAACCCTTTTAACCCCCTTTTCCCAGGGTTGGAGAGCCTACACACCATCACTACCCTATAATCATTTCTCCCCAAGGTGGTAAAGTTTTCTCCCTGATTCATCAAACTGCCCCTTCTCATCCAAAGCTACTAACTTGAATCTTGGCTGCTGCCTCTTGCTAAAATCCTCCAAGATTCGCTCCCCATTCACCCGTAGCATCTTTGCTGTGATGGCAGTAATGTCACCTGGCTGAAGTTTGGCCACAGTATGATCACAAGGCCCTGTAGGACAGAACAGCAGAATCAAGTTCCTGTCCTGTCCTTCCTACCCCATCCCTGACCCAAGTGTCTGCCTCACTTCCCACCCAGCTCTTACCTTCAGGCAGGAACAGCTTGTGACCCACCAGATCATCAGGATAGGGGACATGAAGGGAGCTGGAACTGCCAGGCAGTGGCCCCTCAAGGGGCCGCTTCTCGCACAGAATCAAAGTTGTAAAGACTCGGTTCGTGGTGTCTGAGGAGACCTGGGAGAGACAAACAGCGTTACTCAGGTCACACCCATCTTCCCCTAGACTAGCATAACCTGGA